ACAGCTGAGCTTCTGAAAGCGGGTGGAACACCGATACTTGAAGTCCTTCAGAATCTCTTCAATTCCGTCCTCCATGGTGGCACTACTCCGGAGGCGTGGAGTAGAAGCGCGGTGGTCTTGTTCTTTAAGAAAGGTGACAACGCTCTCTTGAAGAACTACAGACCGATTTCCCTTCTGAGCCGCGTCTACGTGCTGTTTTCGAGAGTCATTACGAATCGTCTCGCACGCAGACTCGACGACTTCCAGCCGGTTCCCGAACAAGCCGGTTTCCGAAAAGGCTTCAGTATCATAGACCACATACATACCCTGCGGCAGATTGTACAGAAGACCGAAGAGTACAATCTGCCACTTTGCTTGGCATATGTGGACTATGAGAAAGCCTTTGATTCCGTCGAAATATGGGCGCTGCTACAGTCACTTCAGGGGTGCCAAGTTGACTGTCGGTATATCGAAGTGCTGAAGTGTTTGTACAGTAGGGCTACAATGGCTATCCGAGTACAGAACCAGAGTTCAAAACCTATCCAACTGCAGAGAGGTGTAAGACAGGGTGATGTTATATCCCCGAAACTCTTCACCGCTGCGTTGGAAGATGTTTTCAAGCTACTGGACTGGAAAGTATACGGTATTAACATCAATGGCGAGTACATCACTCACCTTTGATTTGCCGACGATATACTCCTTATGGCAGAATCGCTGGAGGACCTTAGCACTATGCTCAATGACCTCAATGGTGTCTCCCAACGGATAGGTCTTAAGATGAACATGGAAAAAACAAAGATCATGTTTAATGTCCATGTCACAAGTATGCCGGTAGTTGTTGGGAGCACTATGCTCGAAGTTGTTGACGAGTACGTTTACCTGGCACAAATAGTCCGACTAGGTAAGTCCAACTTCGACCGAGAGGTCAATCGACGGATTCAACTCGGCTGGGCAGCGTTCGGGAAATTACGACACATCTTCTCGTCAGGTATACCTCAATCTCTGAAAACTAAAGTGTATAACCAGTGCGTGTTGCCAGTGATGACTTACGGATCTGAGACGTGGTCCTTCACTGCTGGACGTATGAGGACGCACAAGGTCGCTCAGCGAGCTATGGAGAGGGATATGCTTGGAGTTTCTATGCGTGATAGACTCAGAAATGAGGATATCTGCAGTAAAACCAGAGTGACAGACATAGCCCAACGGATTAGTAAGCTGAAGATGGCAATGGGCCGGCCATATAGCTCGAAGAACCGATAACCGATGGGGAAGAAATGTTCTTGAGTGGCAGCCTCGTACCGGTAGGCGTAGTGTAGGGCGACCCCTCACTAGATGGAGTGACGACCTGGTAAGACATGCAGGAAGTCGATGGATGCAGGTGGCTCAGGACCGTGCTTTGTGGCATTACTTGGTGGAGGCCTATGTTCAGCAGTGGACTTGTGAAGGGCTGTAATGATGATGATGATGATGAATAAAAAATAAATCGTTTTGACAAAGCAGATAGGTGTATAAAATAACTTTAGTTTTTTTTTGAGGAATATACCAAACTACGTCTACTCGCTCCCGCAACGCTCATTTATCAATATGAAAAAATATTTATGTACATATCTTCGAAAAAAAAAATTTTTAACAAAAGAATTTAATGTCCACCTGATGGTAAGTGGTTACCGCAGCCTATGGACACCTATAGCTAACTTCAAACAAAGAACGCTACTGATGCGTCGTCACCTCTGAGCGCTTAGATGGAATATCTCACGGCCTCTAATTATTTTGGCTCGCTATACCCTATAGATTGGAACACCGCAGCGCAAACATTGCTTTTAATAATGTTTGATATATGTTTTAATTCAAAGTAATGACAAATGCTTCGTTGGTCTAGTGGTTGTAGTATTGCGACTGCTGATCATGAGGTCCTGGGTTCGAATCCCGAGTACAGCCACAAAATCGGCCAAAAAATCAATTACTGAGTTTTTCTGTCGATAAATTCTCAGTAACTGCCCGGAGTCAGGAAGTTAACGATTTCTCATCCCCCGGGTCTCGGAAAGCGCGTATATAGAGTCCTGCACCTGATCTCTCTCCAGTCGTGTCGGCTTACCGTCCTATCGGATTGTGAGAGTGAGGTAATAAAGAGTACACCTGTGCACTAATGCTTGCGCATACACTTGGGCACTATAATCCTGTCCTGCGCCGATGGCTTGTCTCCGTTGAAGCAGGCCGCCTTGACCGAAATTCGGTCTGGAGGACTTTATTATATAATGAAAAATTCCTCATGATGTTTTTTTACTTCCCTACACATGGTGAGGTATGTATTCCTAGAGGACTTATGATGTATTAAAAATTTGTGAACCAGAAAGGCGGACGCGATCGCCACTAAGTTTCTCTTAACCTAGAGTAATCAAACATCGTAATTAGAGACTTCGTATCCAGAGGTTAAAGTAAACAAAATACGGAGAAAGTTCAAACTTTGTTGCTCATATTCACGATATAATCCGACTACCAGGAACGAACGTGAACGTTCAGGAACCTCAGATAAGGAAAAATTATTTCGTAAAATATTACGAAAAATAAATAAAAGAGCGCGACTCGGTCCGCTTTCACTATCAATTTCCTATTTAGTGCCATATTATTGTAATCTCTAGGAATTTTTTCCTATGTATTTACGAAGTAAAAATACAGCTGTAGCACAATGGCTAAGTGCTTTCTGTGAATTTCATAGTAGCCTAGCAACTTGGGATCTCCGTTGCATTAACGATATTATTAATTTCAATTTTAAGTTCTTATTTACCACGTGCCCATCGATAAAGGAAAACATCGCGAGAAGACCTCAATGCTATGAAATAAAATATTTGTCGGAAATGTGAAGTTCGCGAACTCGCTCGGCGGACTAATTCCTCCGTACACCATTCAGAAATGAGAGAAGGCCATGCCCAAGCGATGTAATATTTTTTTTTTTTATAGAATAAGGGTGACAAACGAGCACACAGTCTACCTGACGGTAAGTGGATGCTGTGGCCCATAGACTTCTACATTTATCCTCGATTAAAAATCAAAACGCAGATTCGTTGTCACCCCTGAGGACTAAGATGGAAAGCCTCGTTTCCAGTAGAAAAGGGTCTTCGGATGGAGATCCGTAGAGACACTCACCATACGATACACAACAGTATTAATCTACTATTTTACGGTGATAATCTTAGCCGACTCATTCGTACTACAACCATAATATATCTGCAGCCTGGCTCTACCACATATAAAATATAAAGGCAGTAACTTTTATTAATGCTTTTATTGTAAATTCCATTTTTTTCAAAACTTGATTTCAGTGAAAACTTAACCAAGATGTTCACAATGTAATTAAGCGCCAAATAAAACTAGTTTGTTAGTCGATATCGTCATTTCCCTTAAGATATACGAAAGTAAAAACTGAGTCTCGAAGCTACAAAGCTGTGGTCATTTTATAGTATCCCATATACTTATGTGTACTTAAATTGTTCACAAGTTTGCATAAAATAATAATATTGATGGTATTTTGCACATTTCGTGCCTTAATTTAATAAAGCCTTAAATTAACTTAAATAAGCCATTAATAATGCCTTAAGTTACGAGTAAAAGCCTAAGAAAAAGCCTGATATTAATCTTCTGTAGTTACATATAAATAACATTGAAATGTTTGTGTGTAATGTCGAAATAACTGCCTTATATTAAACGCAGCGGGTTATTTGCGAACTATTTTAAGACATAAATAACCATTTTTGAAATTATTATCGGCCTGACTGGGCTGATCTTCAGATAGGCTGAATCTAATTGTGATGAAACTACAAAAATAGATAGAAAGCAATGCCACGATCGAGTGATCTAAGCTCTTTTTTTTTCGAAAAAAATAGTGATATTTTTTTTTTGTAAAATCGAGGAATTGATAAAAATGGTCCTTTATCTTTATCTTCAATCCAAATGTTCACAAAAAGAGACACCACCCAAGCGAAGCCGGAGCTGGTCGTTAAAGTAGTCGCAGTTTTCAATAAATCAACTATTTAAAAGAGACAATCATTTTTGAGCCCACTAGAAATTTTAACATAACTTCATTTTATTACACGTAAAAAAAGATACCAATTTTTATAACGGCCTCAATACCTACTTTATGAAAATCTAACCGGAATCATGAATTCTGAAAAAAAAAGAATTGTTTTGATAAGTATTCGTGTTCTGGAATATGAAAAAAAAATGCGTGTAACGAAGAACGAACTACTAAAAGGATTTTCCATCAATCTTAAAGTACCTCAAAATGTTGAATGTATATACAACTTTGTTTTATATCTATGTATTATTCTATGTATGTATTATTCTATGTATTTATCTATGTATTATTTATTGACCGGTCACTTTAACTTATAATACCGGTGAAAACTACAACTAGACAATCGCTTTTAGTTTATTTTTAGGTAATTCTGATATTCATATTTTAATTGTAAATTTCTGAGTATTCCCATTAGATACAGTAAAACTAGTATTACTTTTGTAATCTATCCATTATAAGGAATAAATCAACATGTATTTCATTAACTTACGCCACAATTTGTGGTGGGCCCATCCTCCATACAAAAAGAATTGTCTCCTTTAAATAATTTATTTTGTGATTTGTCACCACGACCCTTTTTATTCCAAGCAGCGACTGCTCTGTCACTCATGAAAATTGACGTTTATGGAATAAAGATGAAATCGTCAGCAAAATCGAAAACCTGCCACTATTCTACGCGTAGTTATTACATGTTATGTTTTGTCTTTAGGGCGCTTTTAGTGTCACGCGGATTTGCTCACGCACGCGGGATTGGACCGCATGCGTAGCATCCGCAAAGAACAATTTCATATAGGTATCTATTGTAAAGCGTGATAAACGCACGCGGGACGCGGGGCGCTGTGCGGGGCGTCACCCCGGTGCGGGGTATCCGCATGCGTAAGCGCTGCCTACAACTTCAGTGCCCATTTTAGAGTCGAGCGGGGCGCACGCGCCGTATTGTACTACCGAAATGAAAATCGATACAGAACGAGTAATCATTGAAGTTCATCTGCGGCCCGTTTTGTGGGATAAACGCAATGAATTATACAAACACAGGGACGCGAGGGAGGCTGCATGGAGAGATATTTTGAAGGAATTGGCACCTAACTACGAAAATTTGAGCGAAGAGGAAAGAAAAGAGGCGGGTATGTGTTTGGTTCATTATTTTATTTATACAAGCATCATTACTTTATTAATATAAGCATAATTATTTAATTCACAAATAACATCAAAAACCTTCTAAAACCTTTTGAGTTTAGTTAATTAATTATATATAGGTGTTGCCAGGAGACTTTTCCTTCATTGATAAAGTAATCTGCAAATATATCTCTGATATTACTTGCCGACGTATTACTACTTTCAGTCTGCTGCCTGGGTAGTGGTCCCGTAAAACCATTTGTGACAAATGTATGGCTGACCTTGTAGCCATCCCGTTTCCTTATGAAATTGTGAAGTACACATGCCGTCTTGACTATTAATTGTGCTAGATCTAACTTGACATTCATGGATCTGTGAAATATTCTAAATTTATTTGACATAATTCCAAAAGTGCATTCTATGTACCTTCTAGCTCTGGACAGACGGTAATTAAATATTTTCTTTTTGTAAGGTAAATTATCACGAGCATAAGGCCGCATCACATGTGATGATAAACCAAATGCCTCGTCTCCCACTATCACGAACGGCAACTTTGCTCTTACACTAGATGGATAAGCTACTTCGGGGCAAATAATAGGCAACTCTTGCGGGTCAGGGATACCCAACGTGTTACTTTCCAGTTTCGTATACAATTGACTCCTTCTAAAGATGGTTGAATCGGCGTTGCTTCCACTGGTACCGACATTAATATATGTAAAATTATAATCAGCATCACACATTGCGAGGAGCACTACAGAATAATATTTCTTATAATTAAAATATAGTGATCCACTGTGCGGCGGCCGAATCATTCTTATATGTTTTCCATCAATTGCACCCAAGCAATTAGGAAAATTTGTATATGTGAGAAATCCCTCTGCGATTTCTTTCCATTTGATCCCATTAAGCTGTGGAATACATTCAGACTTTAGTTCAATCCATATTATGTAACAAACTTGTCTTACTATTTCGCTAATTGTTGCAATTCCAATCACATAGGAATAGTGTAGATCAGTGAATGTATTACCAGTTGCCAAATATCTGAAAACAAAAACAATATATTAATAATATGATAACATAATATATTAATAATGCTGACATCAGACATAAGACAGCATGCAGCGCTCGAATTTTACTTCAGAAGAAAAATAAATACCCTTAAGGTGAAAGGGCACGGAAGTAGCTAGCGCTAGAAGTTTTTAATTCGTTTTAACTACAGTACTATAGCTACGTTAGATTTCTATGATTTGCCGAAAATTTTATCATAGGGGGGTATTTATGCAGTTATGATTTCATATGAAAAGTTCGAAGTATAGTTATGTATCTCATATCTGCTAAAAGTGGCCACTTTTAGCAGATTTGAGACACATAACTATGCTGTAAATATTTTATAAGAAATCTTCTCTGTATAAATTAACCCCTATGGTAAAATTTCCGGCAAATGAAAGGAATCTAATAAATATATATAATATAATATAATGAAATATCGTTTATTTCAGGCAATATTTACATTACAAGATGTCCTCCTTCATGAAGGTTGACAGATGCAAATAAAGCAAATTTTTGTTAAAACAAATTAAAAACTTACAGCGCTAGTGACTTCCGGAAGTTTTCACCTTAATTTTGATGATGGCAAATTTTACTGTAACAAATAAACAAATTGCCCGATTCAATCCGGTGTTTTTCCAAAAATCCTTAAATGAAGTTCTAATTATTTTTTGTAAAAAATGAATTATTTCGTCGATGTCTGCGCCGCGCCGCCCCGGCCGCGCCGTCTGCGTCTAGTATAAGATTCACTTTGCGCTATCGTTCGCGGCGAAATTGACCGGCCTGCGCCGGCCCGCCGTTTGCGTTGCGCCTAAGGGTACTTTTCCTTCAACTGCGGCCTTATTTTTCCACTCTGTATAGGTATATATATATTGCTTGATTTATCTAATGCTTCATGAGACAGTGTAAAGTTGACAACATGTGTGAATTAAGGAGGGCCTTTAATCGAATGCAGTTAAATTTCCAACTAATATCAGATTTGTACACACGGCCACAGATCAAGCTTCCCAAAACCAGTATAAACAGGACTCATGCGTTGTTTATTATCGTAGACGACTCGGCGCCCGGCGAGGCCCTAGCAAGTTCCGTTTATTGGTACTGGTTTTGGGTAACTTGATCTGAAACTGTGTGTACTTTTGCCACTTACTTATTATATTTTGTCATTTCAGACAAGAAAATACAACAACGCTGGCGAACAGCAAGGGACACTTACCAGAAAGACAAGATATCTGAAAAAAATCAGCCATCCGGCTCTGGGAGTAAGAAGAAGAAGAAGAAATATTCTTACTATGACATTTTGACTTTCTTAGACAGTACAACGGAAACTGCTGGAGAAGAGTCACTCTGTGAAGAAATGTCTGAACAAAGTAATTTAGAAACACCTAATGAGTCCACGCAACCAGATACTTCACGTCAAGAAAGTTCTCACCCAACATCAAAACAAAAACAAGTAAAATCTAAAAAGCAAGCACCATCTGAATTTGAGGCAAAGTTATTAGAATGCTTAAAGTCTAATCAACTGGAGATAGAAAGTGAGGATTTGGCTTTCTTTTCAGTCTCTGCAGCCTTCATTAAAAAGATTCACTAGATATCAAAAACTAATGTTCAGAACAAAAGTGTTAAATATAGTTATGGAAATGGAAAGTCAAACACAACCTGCATACTACAGTCCCATACCTACAACAAGTTCTAGTGCTTTTACTGAGCTTGACAGTTTGCCACCGATAAATCAAGATTACCAAACCAATAGTATAATCCAGGATACTTCGAGTCTTAACGACAATGCTATTAGTTCTGCTGCAGTGAATGACAATGAAACTCTTATTTCGACTGAAAGCGGCCTGTTTAATATCACGTCTTATGACGTAATTTATACCCCAGCAACAACATCATCTACAGGCGAAAGTAATGTCAACGCTCAGGATACAAATTTACAAAGAAATGAATGATGTAAAATTTGATTTTTTAATTTATGAATAAAACTCTTTTTTATTAAAATGAGTACGATTAACTTTTTTTCTCCAGTTTCTCTCTAATTGTTTGTTTAGTCATATGAGTGCGGTTGTACACACGGCACAGATCAAGTTACTCAAATCCAGTATAAGCGGGACTCCGACGGGTTACCTAAGTATGATAATACGCAAGGCGCGAGTTCCATTTATGCTGGTTTTGGGTAACTTGATCTGTGGCCATGTGTACTTTATCAGATAAAAAAAAGGATTGTGTATGTAGGTTGAACGTACCAATCCCAAACCAATTAAGGACTTTTTTTGACTTTAAATTACTGTCATGTGCAAACCTATAACTTTTATCTATATTATAATAAGTAGCGTGTGATGAAAGGTAGGAATGATTCCACTTTAATGGCGACATTTTATGAGTGAAATAATCTTATTTAATGAAATTTCAACATGAAATTGAATGAAATTATGAACAATGAAATTTCAGAGTACATGACAAAATTTTTTTTTGCACATGTAAATTTACACATGACAGTAATTTGAAGTCAAAAAACGTTTATCCTACCTGTTCAAATCCCTTTCCACTAAATCATAGCAGGAAATTAAATATTTAAAATTTAAAACTTACCTTAATGTAATAGCGAGCCTCTCAATCGGTTGTATTGTAATCCTTCGTAAACTGCTTTTTTGTAGCTTATTCTCAATTTTACACAACAGTTCATCAAAAGAACGAATGGACATTCGAAAGTAATTTTTAAATTTACGTTCATTATTTTGTAGTTTTCCAAAGCGTGTAACAAACGCCCCAGCAAGAAGCCTATTTTCAAGAAAGGGATCAACATGTACTCTTGTCTTCTTGTTTCGTCGTTTGTAAAGTATGTAAGCGACACATATTCTTCTGACATTGATCATTTTTGAACACGTCTATACCGTTACGCAGCCCGTAGAAAACTGAAACTCATGCTGCGTATGATCCGCAGCGTGAAATTTTACGCATGCGGTCCAATCCCGCGTGCGTGAGCAAATCCGCGTGACACTAAAAGCGCCCTTAGTGCAGAAAACGTACAATAGCTTCTGTCTTCAAATTATTCAGTTAAGTGTAATTACGTGACATTTAGAAAATAAATTCGCGTACTGTTAATTACAGGGCATTGTCGAGGTAGCACAAAAGTCTGGATAGACTATTAGAGACATCGATTCAAAAATAAATTCTATAAAATATATCATGTTTTATCGAAGTCATTCAAAAAATCGTTAGTAGGTACGATACTGACAGCGTATTCATTATTTTGACATTTTTAACGTTCTATTACCATATTATATATATATATATATATATATATATATATATATATATATATATATATATATATATATATATATATAGTTCCTTAGATCTCATCAAAAGTCTGGTTTAGAACACCAACTTTTACAATCGATTGTCATATTTGCCGCTTGGCACTTGGCAAGCAGTTAGCACCAATTAATATCATTTAAAATATACTGACAGCGTATTCATTATTTTGACATTTTTAACGTTCTATTACCATATTATATATATATATATATATATATATATATATATATATATATATATATATATATATATATGAGATCTAAGGAACTATATATATATATATATATATATATATATATATATATATATATATATATATATATATATATATATATATAATATGGTAATAGAACGTTAAAAATGTCAAAATAATGAATACGCTGTCAGTATCGTACCTACTAACGATTTTTTGAATGACTTCGATAAAACATGATATATTTTATAGAATTTATTTTTGAATCGATGTCTCTAATAGTCTATCCAGACTTTTGTGCTACCTCGACAATGCCCTGTAATTAACAGTACGCAAATTTATTTTCTAAATGTCACGTAATTACACTTAACTGAATAATTTGAAGACGGAAGCTATTGTACCTTTTCTGCACTAAAGACAAAACATAACATGTAATAACTACGCGTAGAATAGTGGCAGGTTTTCGATTTTGCTGACGATTTCATCTTTATTCCATAAACGTCAATTTTCATGAGTGACAGAGCAGTCGCTGCTTGGAATAAAAAGGGTCGTGGTGACAAATCACAAAATAAATTATTTAAAGGAGACAATTCTTTTTGTATGGAGGATGGGCCCACCACAAATTGTGGCGTAAGTTAATGAAATACATGTTGATTTATTCCTTATAATGGATTGATTACAAAAGTAATATTAGTTTTACTGTATCTAATGGGAATACTCAGAAATTTACAATTAAAATATGAATATCAGAATTACCTAAAAATAAACTAAAAGCGATTGTCTAGTAGTTTTCACCGGTATTATAAGTTAAAGTGACCGGTCAATAAATAATACATAGATAAATACATAGAATAATACATACATAGAATATATATATATATATATATATAGTTCCTTAGATCTCATCAAAAGTCTGGTTTAGAACACCAACTTTTACAATCGATTGTCATATTTGTCGCTTGGCACTTGGCAAGCAGTTAGCACCAATTAATATCATTTAAAATGTAATTAGGCAAATCCTTTGTGGCAACCTACAAACCAACAGGATTATAATATCTTCGAAAACTCCGAGGCGCAGTGGCTTAGCATTGAGTTGCGTTGCTCGCGTCCGCGAATTCGAATCCCGCACGGAACAAGAATTTGTATGACCTACAAATAATAAATTAAAATAAAAAAAATATTGAATTTAGTAGAAAACTACAAATACTTACTTACTATTTTTTTACATGGTGGCGCCATGCTGCAGTTATATTAGTAGTATAGTTGTAGAACGAATGGGTCGGCTCGACCAGGGAAGGACCACGCTCTCTCAGAATACCAGCGTCAAATAGTAGCTTAATGCTGCTGTGTTTCGTATGGTGAGTGTAGAGAACTGGAGACTCTTTTTACTGGAAACGAGGCATTTCATCTTAGTCCTCACGGATGACAACGCATCTGCATTTTGATTCGTAATCGAGGTTAAATGTAGATGTCTATGGGCCACAGCAACCACTTACCATCAGGTGGACAGTGTGCTCGTTTGTCATTCCATCCTATAAAAAAATACGATTGATTTTCTGATGAAAAAAGCTGGTAATTGGGTAATAATGAATGTTTTCTTGCTCTCCTGCAATTTTTAAAACTTAAGATTCGTCACTTTGCAGCGTAAGCAACGAATTGTTCTGGGTAAACTGCCTCCACGATATAGAAGATAATCCCAGTGCGGTGGTCCTAACGTTTAATGGAATAATACAAACACGTTTACACTATAACTACATACATTTATACAGTTTAAGGACTGCTATTCCTAAAGTGTCTAAGTGTCTTCTGTTGGGAAAATAAAAACCAACGCGACGGATATTATAAGCTTTATCAAATTAATTTATAAAACCAGTTGAACCGTTATGGTGAGTGATAGGCACCAAAGACAAAAAAAAAGGTGAGCTTATACCTTTTTATTTCTTAAGAGTTTATACTGATACCTAGGGATTCTATTACAGTCCTCAGAGGTGGTAACGCATCTATTATTAGATTCTTAATCGAGGATAGATTTGGTTGTTTATGGAGCACAGTTCACTATTACCCATATAAAACATTTTAAAGTCGATCTTTTATGACCACTTAATGACAAAACAACACAATAAAGGTGCTACTTCAAAAGCCACGTCTGTTCACTTTTCACAGTATGAATTAGGTACTATTAATTAGGCTTCTAACATAAGTCAACGCTGAAAATAACCCAACAGTTCACGGCGAATTTAATGTTGAAAAAATAAATATGCATGACCTAGTTTAACGCACGGCTAGAAGTTTCGATATGTACTACCCGTCGCTTCGCTAAGCTTTAGTGGCTGGGAAAAAAATGTCTAGGTCAGTGTTAATGGCAGTCTACCGTCAAACAAATCGATATACAAGGGTAAAATTAAAAAAAATGTAGAAACGATGTAGTCGAAGTCATTTAAATACGCATTATTAAGGATAACTCGATAACTACTGGTCAGATCCTGCTTAAATTTATATATAATTCACCTAGAAAAAAGTTCTGAGGTAAAATACATTAAAAAAAACGTACTGCCCAATTCAGTAAGTACCTCTTCCTTTTTTTTTGAAGTCGGTTAAAACAGTCGCATTCATCGAAGTTATTCTACGGTGATGATTTATTTCCGTAACAGTTGTATTTTATATTTAAGAAACTTTGAGATATTATAAACAGAGGACGTCTTTAAATTATAGAAGGAGTTTCGTTAAGAACATAAACACTTTTTCTTCTTATCTTTTACGTAAGGCACGTCGGGGTAATACCAGACGGATTTTCGACTAGTTGAAAGAGTCTGGCAAAAACTCTATTTTCTCGACATCCATATAAGTCAGATTTCGGGAACATGGGGCAAATTGTTAATGGTTAAACGTAGTTTAACTTTAAGAAGCTTTTACTTTTGTAAATTCAACGGTTTCTGCTTAAAACGTGTGCGAAGACAAGATGTAATTTTTATATGCATGATGAAGAATTTGCCATTAAGGGTAAGACCGGACGTAAATTTAAAACCACTTCTATTGCTTAGAGAACAAAGTTCACAAAAGAGATTTCTCTTATCTTT